CAAGATCCAAGATAAACAAACAAGTTCACATTTAATTATTACACTAAGCGCTTTCGCCGTGAGGCTCTTCAGAGTGTAACAAAGTTTATAAAAACAATACAACTTGGTTGTTATGACGTCGTTATTGTGACGTCATAAAGGCAGCATTATATATTGGCGCAGGTAAATGTCATTAAGGCGCCAAAAGTAGAGAATTGAACATATGTACATTGTGATGAAATAGACTGCTAATTTTAAGCTATAATGTTCAATTTACATTTAGTTTAGGTTTAAATAATTTAACAAAGTAATCTTCCTTGGCTCTCCGTAATTGTTCATTATTTTCTAGAACTTTATAAAATGGAAATATTAAAAAGTTTCCATTCGCACATGAATCAAAATGTTCACTGCATGGCGTATTCCTGACAGAAGGGTCCCGTATTCGTTGTTTATGGACTCTTACGCGGTCAGCTAGTTTGTTACCGATCTGTCCAATGTAGTTTTCCCCGCATGAAGTACAAGTCATACAGTATATTAAATTTTTAGATTTGCATGACATATTCGCATTTACGTTAAATGTTTTACCACATTTAAAAGTAAACGTCTCTCCTGTTTTTAAATAAGGACAGGTTCCACATAGGGGGTCCATACATTTGGCCACTGTGCGTATGTCTTCATTTGACGAAAATTTGGCTCTTGTAAGGAGTTTCTTCAGGTTTGGGGGTTGGCGCCGGCTATTGATTATGTTCTTCAGGTCAATTAATTCCTTTAGATTTTGGGATTGTTGTAGAATGGGGAAGCACTGTTTTACGGAATTATACATATTAAGGTTCCGGGGGTTATGTGTAACGACAAGCGGGATTTCTTTATTGTTTTCCTGGGCCCCTGCTCTTGTAGAACTCCGGAGATCTGTAGTTGGTATTGACTTGGCCCTTTCAATAGCGACGTCTATTAGATCATTGGGATATTTTTGTCTAAGTAAAAAAGTTTTCAATTCCTGTAGACGGCTGTTTCTTCTGGTTTCATCTATGACAATGGTACAAACACGTCTTGCCATATTAAAAGGTATGTTACGTTTTACGTGTGAAGGATGGCAGGAATTAAATACAAGGTATTGGTGGGAATCCGTTTTCTTGTAGTATAAATCTGTTATGATTTTACGACCCTCCTTAATTATAAGGATATCTAAAAAAGGTAGTTCCAATCCGCTTTTTTCCACCGTAAATTTAATAGACGGGTGTAGATTGTTAAGAATTGAATGAAATTCTTGTAAATCTTCATTAGATCTGTTCCAGAAAATGAAACAATCATCTAAATATCGCTTCCAATTAAAGCGTATATATTGGGCAAACTGATTTCCAAATCTTCTTTCTGTTTCACTGATCAATTTTTCTTCTAAAAACCCAAGTACTAGGGTGGCATAGGTTGGGGCAACTTTTGTGCCCATCGCTGTTCCTTTTATTTGTAGAAAATTTCTGCTGTCAAAAACAAAATGGTTATTTTCTAATACTATTTTTAATCCTTCTAGGATAAAGTCTTTGGAAAATCTTTCATTTATTTCACTGCGGTATTTATCGATCCAAAAAGCGATTGCTTCCAGTCCCAGTGTATGTGGTATGTTAGTATAGAGGCTCGTTACATCAAAACTAACCATCTCTGTATTTATTTCAACTGTATCTGGGATGTGGCCAAGAAAATCCATATCATCCCTTACATAACTTGGTACAAGTTGGCATAGAGGCTTTAGAAGTATATCCAACAAGTTACTAATTCTGTGCGTGGGGCATGCAGGGCCAGCTACAATTGGTCTAAGCTTTAAATCTGTTGGTCGAGGTAATTTTATATATAAAGCGTTTTTACCTTCGAGTCCGTCCTGTATTTCTTTGGATTTGTGGATCTTTGGTAAACCATAAAAGTTACTAGATTTATTTTCGAAATTTGTTAAATAATCCACTTCTTTCACGGTTAAATTATCCGCAAATTTAGAAGTTAATTTCTTAATCTTGCATATGGTTTTACTGTCCTCATTAGAAACTAATTCTTTGTTGGTGTCCATAAGTTGGTCTAAAACCATTTCTCTGTAATGATCCATATCCATAATGACAATTGCTCCCCCTTTATCTGCTTCCTTTATAACAATAGAATTATCACTTGCGAGGCTTTTGATAGCTTCTCGTTCCAGTCTATTGATATTATCTTTAATACGGGTATTCATACAGAAGTCATTATTTCTTGCGGAACTTTGTAAACATTTAATAAATTCATCTAAATGTTTATCTCTATTAGGTGGTGGTTTGAAGTTACTTTTATTTCTTACAAGAGATTCGTCTATATTTTCTTCATTTTGAAAATATTCTCTAAGTCTAAGTTTTCGACAAAACTCCTCGGTATCTTTTATGAGATCCACATTATCCTGTTTTGGCGTGGGTGTGAAATTTAAACCCTTTTCTAGAATTTTCATTTCGTTTTCTGAAATATCTCTCTGAGATATATTAATAATTTTTACATCGATTTTCTGTTTTTGACTTCTGAGTTGTCTAAATTTGCAGAAATCGGAATGTTTTCTGTCGTCCCTTGTGGAAGCGTCCTTTCCACAAAAAATTATTCTCCGAATTGTTCCTTGTTTGATTTTCTTGTTTACTGTTAAAAACATGTAAACTGTTTTGTGCTGTCCGCCATCTTTGGTTCCTTTTAGGGGGTAGATTCCAGTGTTGATCCCTTATTCCGGCATTGTTGGGTTGTGTCAGCCGTTGATAATTTACATTTCTCACCATGTTTCCTTGATTGTTTTTCCTCATTTGGTTATCCTTGTTGCGAGTGTTATTTGGTCTGTTCTTATATGCATTGTTGTTGTTGTATGCCCGAAATTCGGATCTATGTGGTTTATCATTGCGTACGGCATCAGCGTAAGAAAATCGGTTTTCCTTTCTATATCCGGATTTTGTTTTCCATTGCTTTTGCCCCTACGATTTCTTTGTGTGTTCGGGGAATTTTTCGTCACTTCTTTCCCGTAATTTTTCTCATAACTATTAAGCCACTCCTGCTTTTTTTTCAAGAATTTTAGCAGATTTATCCATTTCATATTTCACTTCTGTTTTCCATAAATCAAGAAGTTTGGCTTTCATATTTACATCGGTTCTCTCTGAAATTTCTTTTTCCATTCTAGCATCACATTCCTCAAACTTGGTTTGATACTTCGGGACCCTTCTGTCAGGAATACGCCATGCAGTGAACATTTTGATTCATGTGCGAATGGAAACTTTTTAATATTTCCATTTTATAAAGTTCTAGAAAATAATGAACAATTACGGAGAGCCAAGGAAGATTACTTTGTTAAATTATTTAAACCTAAACTAAATGTAAATTGAACATTATAGCTTAAAATTAGCAGTCTATTTCATCACAATGTACATATGTTCAATTCTCTACTTTTGGCGCCCTAATGACATTTACCTGCGCCAATATATAATGCTGCCTTTATGACGTCACAATAACGACGTCATAACAACCAAGTTGTATTGTTTTTATAAATTTTGTTACACTCTGAAGAGCCTCACGGCGAAAGCGCTTAGTGTAATAATTAAATGTGAACTTGTTTGTTTATCTTGGATTTTATTTTAATTTATATATATATATATATATATATATATATATATATATATATATATATATATATATATATATATATATATATATATATAGAGGATATTCAATGTTTTGTAGATGAATATGGAATTTATTTCAAGAGTGGGACAGGATTTTTTGATATTTTCACGAGTGCGAAGCACGAGTGAAAATATCAAAAAATCCTGTCTCACGAGTGAAATAAATTCCATAGTCATCTACAAAACATTGAATTTTCTGTTTATTACATTTTCTTTGATTTTCCCTTTGCCTCTGTCTTTTCTTAACACAAGTGTCATAGCTTGGCTTGACGTCATAGTTGAGCGGTTGAGATGTCATAGCTTAGCAGTTGTGAGATTGAAAACATTACATAGCATGGATTTTAGCAACATATTTGGGAAGAAAATTGCAGTTTTAGCTCTCTCAAGATGTTTAGTTACTATCTCTGTCTTATGACAGGCCAGAAATTATTTTTTTACTTACTTTGATATCCTTTCACACTGTGAGAGAATATCATTTTGGTATTCTTTCACACTGTGAGAGAATATCACTTTTATTCAATAAATAAATCACAGTATTTAACTGTTGAAAATGTAATATATATATATATATATATATATATATATATATATATATATATATATATATATATATATATATATATATATATATATATATATATATATATATATACATTGAAGAGTCATATGTCTATATGTATATGTTTATATAGGTGCATGTATGTCTTAATGATTTTTTTTTCTTTCTCTCTTTTTCTCTCAACTATATTTTAGGCCTTTCTCTTGTAAGTTTGTTCTCTTTATGCTCATTTGGGCACTGAATTAGTAATAAAACGTATCTTATCTTATCTTATATACTGTACATATTTCAAATCTGCATTTCTTTATAGGATAGAAAATTCCACACTCGAAAATCCTACTTCGTTGGGGGGGGGGGTATGTGAGAACGGGATGGGGGTGGATGGGCAGGATCCAACTTTTTCGACAAAGAACAACAATTAAAACATGGGAGAAATTGACCATATTGCCATAGGCACTCCCCATCTTAATTGTTAAAAAAAAATATATATATACTATACTATAAACATCTAAAGTGTAGTAGATATATATATTTTTTAACAATTAAGATGGGGAGTGCCTATGAGGTTGAGGGCAACATTGATTTTGTTAGGCTTCAAAGGATGAAATACTGGAGCTATATAGAGAATATAGAGACTATTTTTTTTTTTTTTTAAATTTTTATTGAATATAACGTGAAAACGAAAATAACGAAAATACATGTATAAACATTTTTTATCATTCTATAAGACATTTTTTTTATATTCAGAAGAAAATAGTCTCTGTATCTTCTTTTTAAAGAACAAGTCAAAAGAGGAAGTCGGGATCGGGATGTAAACCTCTACTTTTCTTTTCTCAATACACCTCAACATGGACACAAAAGACGTGGTGCTATTGAAACTTAACGACATTGCAGAAGTTTCTGTTCACTTGCATGGTATTATTTTTTGTACTTACTTATAGACATTTGTAAGCTGAAAGCGTGTCAAGTTAACTTTTGTCAAGTATATAATAAGCCTAGGCATGCTCAACTTTCAAGTTTCGTTGTGAATCAATGCATCATTGTGTTTCAAGTATAATCAACAAGTATATTACTCATTGACTCAACAAATCAGACTAGTCACACAGGAACAGAAATACCGGTATGTAACATTGTAAATGTTACATTCAACAAACCTGATGTGATGGTAAACATGGTAAGCCAAGTTACGGTAAGGTCAGCTTTTATGATTGCGTTTACTAATTGCTGAAGGATTTTTTAGGAGCCACTATTATATCCTGGAAATGCAAGGCCCAAGAAGTGCTATTTGTCAGGTAAGCCAGGTAATTTTTTTCCAGTGTTTGGTTAATATTTACGGTGAAATCACTTGTTTTTGTGGGGCTTTAATTTTCCTTGTTTTTGGTTTTGATGAGACCCACAAATTCATACATCCACAAAATATAAAATTTCGTATAAATAACAACTCAACACTTCTTCAACCACAAAATCAAGTCCCCCCAGTGACCTTTTTCCCCTCAAACCAAGAAGATTTGACCCCTCAAAAATATGTGATTTTACGGTATGTTAAGTGGTTAATATACATAATATATAGCAGGGTTTCTTTACCAGGTGTAAAATTTGGCATTTGACATGCTCAAAGGTATGTCAATAATTTTGGCAGATCTAATTATGGTGGACACAGTGTTCAATGAAGTTGCAAGCCAGTAACATTGTTCTGTATTGCTCAACAGAAGAGTGTTTTTTGGGTAACTTAGATTATCTTCAAGTGAGCATTCTGTATATTTGAATACTGATTTACACAAGAGGTCAGAAAGGTATGATGTTCAATCGCTGACTGATGAAAATTATTTTTCTTGTGTTCAGCACTTTTACATAAGGATGGAAATTTAGTGATTGAAAATTTAGCGGGCTAGTACCAAACCACTAAAATAAGCCAAAGTTAGCATGCACCACGCTAAAAAAATCCTGCTATACGGTACTCAATGCATAATCTTATAATTTTGGTATATGGATTTTGGCATTGTGAATTTTAATCATTGACTAAATATTTCTCCAGTAAAAATGCTTTGTTTGACAACAAAAAGGCCATCCGTGGAGGAATACCACTTGTTTTCCGTAAGTAAAACCTCCTTACCTATTTATAGCTCACCTCAATGAAGTTGGGGGGGGGGGCTTATGCAATACTCTCATTGTCTGATTTCCAGGTTCAACTTTTTAGAGCAGATTATTTCAAGGTATTACTATGCCATATGTTGATCAGAGATGCATAGACAACATCCAGTATTTTTTATTGTACCAATCAGCTTTTGCATAGATGATACATCTAGGGTGGCATATTACCAGACTTGCTTCAGATGCTGGATCCGACCTACATTTTACAGGTGATTCAACTGTTAAAGTTTTTGGAGCATATCCATTCCAAAGTAACTGAAAATCCTGATCAAACTTGCATAAATTTTGCATCTAAGGATAAACACTACCAGAATTTTTGTTGTGGAACTTGGCCTTAATTAAAGACAATGTTCGTTGAGGTGAGCTATGTAATCTTTGATTACCTATGGTTGTAATGAATTGCTTCAGTGATATACCTTTTATTTTTTATTGATCATTGAAAGATCAGAATGAGCTAAATCTTGCATTACTTACATGTACATGTACCATGTTTACTTTAAAAATTATATTTAATGCAGTAGTAAAATGTTTTTTAAAGTTGTGGAAATATTGTCAAATAAGCTTGATTAAATTTTAACTAACTTAATTAGCTTGCTTTGGCCCATGGGAAAAGGGACCTCAACATGGATTTGCACGCATAAAAAGATGGAGACAAGATTCTGAACCAAAACAAGTAACTTTTATCTTACTTTATTGATTTATGACTTTCAGTTTAGTAACATTGTTAAACATCAGAAAGTGCTTTAAAGATTCTGAATTCTGATTGAAGATGTGGCTCCTTATTAAGATTTTCTTGGTATGGTAGTATGATTTCTATTTTCCGGAGTATTATGATCTAGTTAGTGCATGTTTTGTAGAATAATGGTAGAGCCTCCATGTCATTTTCATTGGAGGATGATGAAGAGACAAGAAAAATATGGGATTATAGGTAAGTTAACTATGTATTTATGACTTCAAGTTTTGATGTAAATTATCCCCACTTCTTCCCCTGTCATAAAATGAAACAACTTTTTTTCAGATTTAAACTTGTATACAATGTTGATCTGGGAGAAAATGATTTGAAGCTAACTTTGACTGTCAACAACAATGGTAAGTGATTCATTAAAGTGATTTTACCGGTAATCAGTATGGTTTCTTATTTGGAACGCCATTTGCCATGGTCAAGGATTGCTATATAACAATACTTTTTTAGATTCTAAGGCTTTTGATTTCACCACTCTGATGCACACTTACTTCAGATGCCCTGACATAGCAGATGTGAGGATTCATGGATTAGAAGGACTGCAGTACAATGACAAGGTTCAGAATGTCTTAGTAACTTTGTTGTAAATTTAAAGAAATGCTTGATTAAAAGTCACAAAAATTTAATAGAAAGTCATATTTATGCCCCCGCCATAAAATGACTGGGGCATATAGTGTTACCCTGTTCTGTCATTCTGTCATCATTCACTTTCCGTTCATTATCTCTGCAACAGTTGCAACCTTTCAACTCGAATTTGACATATGGATATGCCATAGGAATGTGCAGGTCATGTTTGAATTTGGTCATGGTTTGATGATTTTTGACAGAGATATTCCTCTTGAACTTAAAAAAAAAATAAATTTTCAATTTCTGCTTTCTAACTTTTGTAGGGATGTATGTATAAGGTTGAAATTGCATATGCAGGTATCTTACTAGAAAATACAGGTCAAGTTCGAATTTGGTTATCGTCTAATGATTTTTGTCAGAGTTATCCCTCTTGAAATTAGAAAAAAAAGATTTATTTCTAGTTTCCGCTCTCTAACTTTTGTAGGGATGTATGTAAAAGGTTGAAATTGCATGTGCAGGTATTTTACCAGAAAATACAATTCAAGTTCAAATACAAATTTAAAACTAAATATGGCATTTGAAATTTTGGCTGCCTGCGGGGGCATTTGTGGCATTACCACACATCTAGTTTTCATATACACTATTAAATGTTAATTTTTGTTCAAATCAGTATTTGTTGTTTGATGATTTACATAGAAATATATATTTATTTTAGCTTACTCCAATTTCGGCATTAATGTACATAGTTTAATTCTTACTGTTTGGCACAGTCATGATTGAGTGTGAAGCTAGTCATAAATAAGTGAAACATAAATCATGCTGAATATAAGTGCACATACAAAAAAATCATCTTAAAACTTCTTTTTCAAGGGCAAGAAAAAGACTTTTTTCACATTTTGAATTATGCAATTATCCTAAAATAGGGTAAATCCCAGTGTGAGTAGATCATGACCTCCAGTTCATTAAGGCCAAAAGAAGGTTTCCTTAGTTTATTTCTAAGTAAAAGTAAGGTTTATATGTGTGCGGGTTTAGTAGTCTTTGGTAAATTTTGCAAAATATTCTGTGTGTTGTATAAGTCTTTGATTTTCAGTTTGATTAGTAAAGAAGAGAACTACAAATTGTCTTATAAATGAGAAACAAGATACATGTATTTAAAATTCCTGAACAGGTAGAGGGAGGCAAGATATCAACTGAAGAAAGAAAAATGGTGACTATAGACAAGAATTATGATAGGTGAAAAATTTTAACTTTGCAAATAAATGAAATAATGTATTCCTACTATATGCATGTATAAAGCAAGATGCATTGCTTTTGTGCTTTGAAAGTCTTTGGTAATTATGTTAATTCTTGTTCACATGGGAGATATAATTCTGTGTAATAGAACAAAACAAACACAATGGAACATTTAAGAAAACTTGGATATATGTATACTAGATTTTATATTCATCATTCATATTTTTTTTTGACTTGTGTATATCTATAAATATTAAATACTTTTTTATTCAGGGTTTATATGAAGTGTGGAGGTGACAAAGTGCAAGTGGAAAGTATTGGTGATGGGAAGAAATCTGTCAGTTTGCTGCTGTCTAATCTCACAGATGTGGGTGAGTTGGATCTTAATTTTAAAATAAAACATAGTACTGCTATCTCAAAAACGTGAAAACAGGCAGTCTTGGCGATATATTAAAGGTTATCTGATTTTAAGTAAAATTGGTCAAGTGTTTTGAACCTTTCCAAGATAACAGGATCTTTATGGTTTATTTAAAGATCAAGTATTATGCTTTCCCATTTCTAGTTGTTTGGAATCCCTGGGAAGATAAAGCCAAAGCAATGTCTGACTTTGGGGATGACGAGTATAAGACAATGATTTGTGTGGAAGCTGGATCTGTATCACAGTCAGTCACTGCTCCAGCGGGGGAGTCAGTGCTCTTCACCCAGACACTGAAACTGCATTAACCTTGAGAAATTTAGTGTATTACTAAGTGCAATATGTTACACACGAAAGGACATTTGGACCATCATTATTCTTGAATGTTTTAGTTTTTTTTCTGCTTTGTTATTATATTTAAATTTGTATTTTTTCTTACAAATATTGATCTATTTTATATATTCCATATACAAAGGTTTATATTTATTAATTAATTAGAGTTAGTGCTCTTTGCATAGAATGTACCAATTTTCTCTCGCTAGCATTCCTAGACTATTTGCTAATTCTACATATATGTAGTCTGCGTCATTACGCAAACAGGTTTGGAAATGAAATTATTGAATGACTGTGAGTGTTGTCATTTAGTTGTATCAGGATACAAAACTCTTATAACAGGAAGTCAAGCTCTTGTAACAGGAAGCAAAATTAACGCAGGTAGGTTAAGGCTTCCCGTAGAATATGACAGTGCACTCTGTGCCTTCACATCTCTGAACTACCAAAATATGACGTCATAATGGAAAATGACGTCAGGTCACTGCAAACTTGAGGTGTTATGACGGGGAGAGTGTCATGAACTTTACACTTTATTTCAAACTGCATGTAAAATGCTAGCTAGTTATTGCAAAATTCACGGGTCGTTAAAGGTTTTTGAAGTCTTATATGTCCGAATATTTTAAAAATACACCGCTTACCTACCCTTGATTGAAATTCATCATGTTCAAAATGCTTATGAAAAATATACTTTTGAAATGTACTCTGTTTTATACCCGTGGTTGGAGGTAGAATTTATTTTGTGTGTATAAAAGAGTCTGGCGCATGTGATTAATGAGGATTAATCTGAGAATTTTTGTGGAAATCTGTAAGAAGAGGTTGTTCTCTAACTGAATCTTGCTTGGGAAAAATGTGTGTTGGCTTTGTTTTAATACAGATTACGATATTATGTGGAAAATACCCTCAAATTTGTAGGTAAGTTGAATTTCTCAGGAAATATTTTGTACCCAAGTAATACTATGACTTTTCCCAAGCACATTTCGGATACACAAGGATACGATGAGTTTATTTATATAACAAAATGTTAATAATTATTGTGTTAAAGGCAGAGATTTTTTACCGGGTGGTAAATTCCAGGTGAGGGAGGGGCTTATTTTGTACAGGTGTGAATGCCTTGAGGGCTAGCCGTCTACCTGTGGTCGTTTGTCCTCTAATCCCTATACACAGGAAGTGATTTAATACACAGTAGAATACCCAAGAAGTCAAACTATGAAACTTTACCCGTGTTGGGATTTTGAGATTATTTTAAATTAGAAATAAAAAGTTGTAATTAAAGTTTAATCTCAATATTTTTATTAATTTATAATTGAATGTGTGTCAAAACATTCCCACCCATTAAAACAATATTATTATTTAAAGTATTTGTTGAGCTTTGAAAAAAAAAATACCTAATTTTGATATAATATATTATCATAAAGAATATCACTATTATTACAAATACGAAAGGTGTATGTGTATATACATGTATTATCAAGCTAAAAATTCCATGGTATATAATACAGCTTCTCTGTTGTTTATACCATGTGTGGTAAATATCAAAGGATCAAAAGTTAATTGGAAAGTCACCACGAGTGCCAAACAAGGTGTACAGGGTATACACAGGGACTAGTAAGTAAGTGTCAATCAAGTTCTAGCACCCAATGATGTACCTTAATGCACTTGATTGACAGGGATACACAGACCAGGTATTTTCGAAGGCGGTGCTTAAAATCTCTGCCTTTAATCAGCTGCGCCGAAGCGATTTATATGAAACACTTCAAAAAATTATAAATGACCGTCACGTGATCAACAAAGTCATGTGATATCGTAACAAATATATAGCCGAGGAAAACCCGTATATGAATTGGAAGTACTTAAGTTCAATACTTATAAATTAAAACCAGAAACCGACCTCGCAATGACATATAATGCTTTGAGCGCATTTTAAAGCTTCGAGAAGCCTTAACATAGCTGCGAATAAGCCAACTTGCCTGTTAGTGGCAGAATATCTAGATACATATATGTAACTGTTAAAAACAAAAACAGGCAAATGTATTAAAGGGGGTGGGTTCCAAATATGATATTAATGTTTTACTCTTAAATATTTACATTTCCAATGTCTTTGTCCGAGATAAAATTACAAATTGTAAAAATACTTTATTTCTACATAAATCTACTGGCTCATGGAAAGGCGCGGTTAAAAAAAAATCACGTGCGGGGCGGGACAAATAGAGACAGAAGCGGGGCTATTAGCACGGGAATTTGCAGAATCAGGAGCATGTAAATATAAGGAATAACTGTCAGATTTTTTGGATTCATGACGATGATCCATCGAGTGGCTTGCGTGATAATTTTATGCATAAACGCCTTCGGCGTTTATGCAAATTATCACGCAAGCCACTCGATTGATCACAGCATGAATCCAAAAAAATAGACAGTTATTCCTTAATTTAATATAAATATGATCATTGAAAGGCCAATTTTTTGTAGTATCAAGTCAAATCCTCCCTGTTGATATATTCAAAATTTTGTTGCTTTTAAATATTAAGTTGTCATTAATTCCTCTGGCCGGTACCTACTCTCAAAAAACGATACTATATCCTGAAAAATAAACGAGAACACAGTTGAAAGTTTAAAAAAAATTTAATATTATTACGGAAGGATTTTATGGATTTTCAGAGCTGTAGTCCTAATAATCCTTTTCATGACATTCATAAAATTTTACAAGAAATAGTTTAGGAACAATTCCTTTTTTCTCAAATTTAATTTGGAGAGAGAATGTTATTTAACAAGCATAAAAAAATAAGTTAATGAAATAAAAGTGAAACAATTAGGGTACTGAAATTGATCTTGAGCAATGCATTTTGTTATGTGTCTTTAGAATAGATGCATGATCCATGCAAGATTAGGTTGGACTTAAATAAGTATTTGTCGTTATTTTACTATGCATCGGAACGGACTTGCTCCAAAAACACATTCAGATAATAATATGACATATACAATATCCGAAGCAAATCTGGTATATGCATCATTCTAAAAGAAGAAGTTGACCCATACAGTTTACATACGAAACAAGTTTCTGTTGGAAAGACGACCATGCTGACATAATGGACAGGACATCATTAGCCGACAATGGATAGAATGACTAATATCCACAAAGACTTAAGTGTAATCCAACGTAGGAACGAGGATAACAAGTAGTCGGCCATTTTTCCCAGTGTTGAAGTGAAAAGTAAACATTAATTGCCCTATTTTATTTGAGGTGTAATTGTGTGTCTTAACTTAACAATAAACCTGCTTGACAGACATGTTTCTCACGTCTGATTTTCTTTGAGTTTATTTACCCACATAATGTAGCTTTATGTGTACATAACCTTGATAACTGCCAGTGTACTTAAGGATAAAGAACACAAACAACTTTTTTTCAGAAATCGGCAATATTTTTCATAGGTTTATATGAAGTCACATATCTAAGCACCAAAGAAAACTTACGATTTCTTTATATTTTAGAGATTAGTTGTTTTTAATTATGTCATTTCTAATCAAAATCAGTCAAAAAATATATATATCAATCCATGCATCAATTTTTTGTTTGTGTTAAGTATCCTAAAGTGTTCAATAGGTGACGTGTTTTCTAAATAATTTTTGATCAACATTTTCTTGATAATTCTTACCTCCCGCAGAAAATGTAATTCGCAGATTTGGAAAAGAGGAGGATCTCAAAGCCTGAGCAGTATTTTAAACCAAGTGCAATCGATCATTCAGTACCCAAACAATAGTCCAGATAACATATTAATGAAAACAATAGAATCTAAGTGACATTTTAGAAGATACAACTAAGATGTATTCTATAAGAGGTGGTACGGGAAAGTTCAATTATATTATTATTAATACTTTTAATCGATAATAGATGTGCAAGAACTGTTGGTGTGAATTAATTATATTTATGATAGAATAATATGGCACGCCGATTGCTTCAAAATTATTTTCTGCACAACGATCACGATTTTATACACGAGCTTGATGAAAAATATACACGAGTAAAATAAAAATGCACGTATCGGTAAAAATTGCACATAGTTTGAAAGATTTTAACACAAACATAACGAAAAATACACGAATCCGAAATTTTTTACACGATTAATTGGTATAAAATGCACAAACGTAAAATCAAAAACTGCACGAGCAGAGGAAACTAAAAATTACACAAACAATTTTACTGCGCATATCATTATTATGCACATAGAATATTCATTGTGTTCTTGGTTTTCTGTACTCTTTATCTCTTCTAGATTGTTGGATGTAATCGAGAGAAAATGGCGTTGACGATGACATGCATGTTTGTTTGCTTCTTTATTTCTTTGCTAAAACTCGATCCGATTTCTAGCTAATGCCAATCAAACGAATGAAGTGTTTTCTTGTCAACTGTGTGAAAAAGATTAAAAGTTGTTCGGAGATATTATATTTTTCTTATATTGACCGAGATCCTAGCCAAAATATGGAGGTATTATATGATGCCGGATATTAATTGTGACAAGAAAGAAATCGCGTGTTTGTGTTATAATGCGGGGAAAAAGTACCATTGCATATGATGCACTCGACTCTGAACTAAAAGTAATACACAGCAAACTCTAAATTCCTAACGATGAACAGATCTTGCTTTAAAAAATGATAGAATTATTATTTTTTTTTTTAAATATACGCTCTATGGCCTTTTAAAATTATCTAACTTATAGATACAACTTTAACGGAAATTATTTGTATAAAATAAAAATTAACACATGCATAATAAAACGATTAATAAAGTGGATTCTTCATGAAAATGATGGCAGAATTATTGCTGATTATAATCATTAAATTGTAGAATTTATTTCGGTACTTCTCATTTGTATTAATTATGATTTCATTTTTTTCATTTGGGAGTTAGCTAGATATATATTTTTTATTTTCAAAAAGATTAAAAAGTGGGGATTACCTGACCTTAGATATACACAGTATGTTTTTAAAGTCAAACATAAAAAATATTTCTAATTATACATGTATCTTTACTTATAAAGTGAAAATATGAGGATATCAATTTTGGTTGGATATCTGTAGCCTACACTGTTATGAATTCCTTCCATGATATCGCATATTTTCAGTCAAAAACTACTCAATAAAAAACAAGACATTCCTAAGGGTAAGTGTTACCCTCATTCGTAATGGCGATTACTTGATAAATGTTTTCACTTTTAATAAAAAGGACCAGATAAAGGAAAACTATATACTCTATGTGCTTCATATACATGCGGTTTTGTGTTTTGTTACTTAAAATTTG